GGACACCGCCCTCCCCTGCCTGCCGCCTCCTCGATCCCTGTCCCTGTGGCCTTGCAGTTGCGCTCAGGCTCCCGTCAGGAGGGGCTGGCGGTGCGCCCAGGGGTGAGCACTCCCACCCGTCCTGGACACCTCTCCCCACCTTCTGTCCACTCCGCTGTCCCCACACCGGGCAAGACTGGGGCATGACGGGGTGCCGCGTGCTCCCTGGGGCTGGGACAGGGCCCGGAGAAGCCCAGGGGCGCCCCGGCCCGGAGGCCCGAGTCCCACGACGACAGCCGGGGACGCGGCCCCTGGCTGCGGCTCTCCTGGGATCACTCCGTCCTGCAGGCAGGCGCAGTGGGGGGTCGCGCACCCCCGCCCCGCACGCGCCCAGTCGCTTCCGGAGCGCCTCTCCCTGCTGGCAGCCCAGAGGCAGGAGGCAAGGACCCGCTGGCTGTGAGGAAGGCGCCAGCCGCACCTCCTGGTTCACGTGGAGCCCCAGGCCCCTGGCGTGCTCTCGGTCGTCCCGGTGCAGCTTCTGATTGTAGCCTGGGTCCTGCCGGAAGATGCAGTCGTAGAGAGAGATGACGCCTGTCTGCAGGGGAGAGAGGACTCCGTGGGCCCCCGGCATAGGGCCCGCCACAGGCTCGCGCTCCCCTGCTGCAATGCGGACGGGGTCCAGGCCGCGCAGGTGGGAAGGTCGCCCCGGCCGGGCCCAGGGCAGGTGTGAGAGGACCCCGGGCCCTTGCCCTCTCTCCACAAGGCCCTGGGTCAGAGGTGGACCCTCACCGCCTGCTGACTCGTGCTAAGTCCAGACCCGGCAGTAATAAGCACCCACCGGACCTCAGGCCGGTGGACCTCAGGACCTCAGCACCTGCGTTTCGCCCTCGTTTCTGACTAAAGTTTCCGTAAGATGCTCGCACAATTCAGAAAACTGGACAACCTCTGACTACTAGCAGAAGATAAAGCAGAAGCCGTTCTGTCAGTGGCTGGCTGGCAGGATGTGTCCACGTGCACATTCCTGTCTAGCGATGAAAACATTTTCCTTCGTCATCTGACGTAGCTGTAATGACTAACTCATACAGATGCAGATGTGCAATGTAGGCATACACCGAGCATACAGAAAAACAGCTCTGTTAGATCCGGACGTCATTCACTGAACAGCTATCACTGTCACGCCCAGGCTTCCATAAACGATGGAATACGACTCGGCCATTAAAAAGACGGACACTTGCCATTTTCAACATTGCGGATAGGAGCGACGCTGCTAAACGCAAACAGGCCTGAGGAGAGAGACGGGGACGCACGATGTCACTCAAATGCAGGGTGCAAAGACACAAAACAAAGGCACTGATGAAGCGAAATGAAAACACACCCGAGAAAGGACTGTGGCATTGAGACCAAGGTTTCCTTCACGCGAACATCAGTCAGCCTCATTGGGTGTCTAGCAGAAGGGAAAGATACCCACTCGCTCGTTGACCTTGAGTGGTCACCTGGTACCTCGACCTGCCCTTATGTTCCTGCAGGGACACGTCAGCACAGTGACTGCCCCCGGCCCCCTGGCATGCTGGGGTTTGGGTGCACCTTGCTGCTTTTTTGTCCCCTGGGGGTAGGAGACAGTCAAGCTGGATGATTGCCTCACCGGGGTGGGGGCAGAAGGGTCGTGCCAGGTGCCTGCAAGCTCCAGGACCAGCCGGCTGTGACAGGCGCTCAGCCGCAGGCAGCGGGGCGGCTCCAGCAGAGGTGGCCCCCAGCAGCCCGGACCTCAGGCCACCGCCTTCAGGGCTGCTGGCGCTACCTCGGACCGGCACTGGCCCGGTGCACGACTCATCCAGCGCTTTACAGTAACGTTTGGAAGTTCCTAGGAATTCCCAGGGCAACGTGCCAAGGCACTCGTGGGGTGCTGGCTGGAATCCTGCTTTGCCCAAGTTCAAAGTCACTCCAGCATCTTGGAGGCGGCCGCCCTGGTGTCTGTATCGGCGGCCGCTGGGCAGTTCCTGGGTCACTGCGCACGTACGTGTCATTGTCTGTGCTCCTGGCACAGTCCTGGTCCCCAGTCCAGGTTTGGTGGCCGTGACCTTCATTCCTCTTGAAGATGAGCTGATGCAGCCCACGCACCCATAGGGTTCAGCACCAAAAGCCCAAACGGACGGACAGGCAATACATGACTCGGTGTGGGAAAACGGGTCAGCTCTTTGGGGGTGGGGGAGGGCGGAGGAATCAGCTTAGGTCTTCATGGCACTCTAGGGGTAAAAGTAAAGTCTGGGTGGATTAGAAACAGAAATGGAAAGGATACCTCCCGCTCAGAAAAGCAGTGGGGGAAATGCCACGGGACAGTCACTTCTCACGCAGAGCCGGACGCTTGCCCACCAGCTAACACCAACACTCGGAGAGATGCAGCGGGAGGGCGGCAGAACCCCACCTGACTGCGCTGCAGGGCTTCCCCGGACGCTGAGGGAGCTGCGCTGGCTGCCAGGCTGCAGGGCATACGCGACCCTGGCCGCCAAGGTTTTGGGGGACACATTGCCCAGCCACGGGCCCGTCAGCTCAAGCTCCAGCTCACCACCCCCTCTGGGGGAACGGTGGGGGACAAATTCTCCAAATGGCCACACTGGCTTCTGTGAGGGGGGCGAGAGCCGTGCAGACCCTGCCTGTGGGGGGTCAGATCACTGGCCAGGACCAGCGAGCAGACAGGAACGGCCACTTGACACCCACCGTCCTCTGCAGCACCCCAGGTATGCACAGTCCTTGGGGGCTGCTGGCCGTCACGGGGATGTGCTGCCCCAGGCCACCGGGGCTCCTGACCTGTGAGGCGGGGAGTGGGCATGCCGTGGGGGACCCACCCTGCAGGCGCCAGACGCCTACTCTCCCTGACCAGGCGCCGAGCACCCAGGGCCAGGGCGAGGGGGCTTGGGGCTCACTGCCCGCAGGGCACCCCTGCCCGGCAGGAAACCAGCCACGCCCAGTCCGGGGAGCTGCCTCACCACCAGGGGCCGCACCGGGCTGGGCGCCGTGGTCCTCCGGGGACCTGGCCTTGTCCTGAGGAAATCTGCAGAGGGAGAGGATGGACTCCGCTCTGAGGAAGAGCCTGTGTTTCTGTCATTGAGGTTTCAGGGGAAGAAAATCATGGCACAGGCGGCCTCGGGCACTGTCCACCGCCCCGCCGGTCAGCCTGAAAGCTGTCTTTTCCGGAGTGCTAAGTATTAGCTCTTTGTCTTTGAAGCAGATGGGGTTAATAAAAACCAACCTGGATGTATCTGCGCCGACACATCCTCCTCCGTCGGACATATTGGGGAAAACACGTTTCAGCTGTTTTTTTTTTTTTTTTTAAACTTTTATTTCTGCATTCAGGATTTGGGGTGCAGGCCTGAGATGGGGCGGGTGAGTGGTCTCAGGCAGAGTGGGGAGCAGAACAGGCGGATCCACTGAAATCCACTGCTGAGGGAAGCAGCGGGGAGACAGGAGAGGTCTGCTCGCCCTGGGGGCCCCTCCCTGGCGGGGATCAAATTCAAGTGCTCAGACTTTTGACTGTGCCACGGAGGGGGCTGGGGTGTTGCTTGTATCTCTTAAAAGGGGGTGACTGACAAAACTGAGGCTGTATTGAGCGGGCGTGGCAAGCAGCAGATAAGCATATTTAGGGTGTGCCCTCGTGCGTGACCTTAAACCTCACTAGACGCCCGCTGTTCCTGACACAGGCGGCGGGGCGCGGCGGGGCGCGGGCCTAGGGTCCCTCCCGATCCTTCCGCAGAGGGACCCCGGGCCCTCCCCTTCCGCCTCGGCCGCTCTCCCGGCTGGCTGCTCCTGAGAGACCCGCCCCAGGTGAGCCCGCTTCCTGCGTGTTCAGCCCCAGGGGCAGGGCGAGAGCGGCCAGGCACCCCCGGTGGGGCCCCTGGGGGCGCGGGTGGGCGGGGGACTGAGGGAGCCCTGGCGCTGAGAGCCCCGCGGAGGCCGGAACCACTCTCACCACTTCTGGCGGCTCCTGCGCGCCCCAGCGGATGCCCGGAGACGCCTTTCGGTTGCCAAGGACAGGGCGCTACTGGACCCCACGGCCCCAGGCCGGCTGGAGGCCCCCCAGGTAATCAGAGCGGGGCCGCGTGGGTGGCGGCACGGGGGCCTTGCCCGTGGGCGGCTCCGTGGGGTGAGGAGGGGCAGCGAGCTTGGCCGCAGAATGGGGCGCTGGGCCTGGCCTTCCTCCGGCGCTGGCCCTTCTGCTTTCCCACCTCATCCGGAGCCAGAGACGCGGACGCTGCGCAGAGCCCCGGCGTGCCCGGCCCTGAAAATGGCCCTGGACTTGCAAAGGCGGGTGCCTGTGGCCGGCACCTTGTTCGGCCCCCCGGGTGGCCAGTGCGGACCGCAGGCCTCCAGCCTGGGGGCATCGACTCATGCGCCAGCCTAGGGGCAGCCCGCCTCGGGGGGCTGTGGCCAGCGGCTTTGCTCTTGGTTCTGCCGGACCAGGGCGGCCAGACCCTTCCCCTTTGTCCGTGTGTTGTAACCCCTGCGTCACGCATTCTGCATGAAGGAGAAAAGTAAGAAGGCACCTAGCAGGTCGGACATTAGAGGTGCGAGGGAAGGAGCAGCAGGCCGGCGTGGGGTGTGGTCACCAGCGGCTTGCTGCTGGATAACAGAGAGCAGCCCCCAGCGGTCACGGGTGGGTCAGCACCAGAAGTGGCCCTGGCCCGTCCCCAGAGGCCCTGCGAGTGGCCAGGTATGCGGGGAGGACGCTCTGAGTGCATGAAGGTGAGGAGGCCCCATGGCGGGGGTGGGGGGGTGAGCTGGGGCTCCCCTTGCACCCCCATGTACAGCACACTGGCAGAGCCTGTGGGAGTCGCCTTCGCACCTCTGGGCCGGCGCCACCCTGTTACCTGTGCGGGGTGCTCGGTGCACCCGGAAGGGAGATTTGGCAGCCGGGACAGAGCCCCTGCTTGGTGCGCCCACGGAGGGGGAGGAGGCAGTCCACTGCCCCCCTCTGCTGCTCCGGCCGCCCAGGACGCCTTGCTCACCCCCCGCGGCAAGCACTGCAGAAAACCACTGGAGAACTTTTTGGAGGCGGCTCTCAGGGAGAGAGCTGACCCGCACTCGCACGGAAGGACATTCTCAGAAGGACATTCAAATCGTCATGAAACGCGTCCGTTTCACTGGACTTAATGAGCAGAGCCCCCACCAGGGCAGGTGTAGAGGGCAGGTCTGGCCTGCGCCCCGGCTTCCCGTAGTGTGTCGGGTCGGAGTCTTGCTGCCCGGGACAGAGGCAGGCCCAGGGGAGAGGCCTCTAGGTCTCCGGACTCCGTGTTAACGTCAGCACAGCCAGGGGTGGGGGTCAGGGCCGGGATTTGAGGCTGGTCTCCAGGAGCCCAGCCTTCAGAGAAGGAAACTCTAATCACCACAAAAGCAAGCGATAACAGGAGCAGCCTGATCCAAGGCACTCTGGGCCCTTTGCACCTGCTACTGGAATTAAGTCTAAACAGGGCTCTCTGCAGTCAGTAGGTCCCTGCTGCCCAGGAGGACACTGAGTGTCCCTCCCTCGCTGGGGTTCAGCTGGGAACAGGGAGCCAGCCTTTCCCCAGGCCTGTCTCTCTCCCGGGTCAGTGCTGCGCCGCCCACTAAGCGTGTCAGGCGGCCGTTGCTGCAGGAGCTGCTTCTGCGGCTTCTGCTCAGCTTGGAGAAGGCGCCAGGAGCCAGCCCCGGCGAGTGGGCTAGCCCCACTGCTGTCAGGCTCAGGTTATCAGCTCCCAGGGCCTGCAGGGGACAGAGACCAGTTCGGGAACCATGGGACACGCGATGACTCTGGGCAGTAGAGTTCAGTGGACTTGGAGAGGCCATTTGCTGTCGTTGCTACTTTGAAGGCTGATTTTTGGGGCTCAGGTTTCTGCGTGCTTTCTTTTATGTGATACTGAAGGTCTGACACTGGACGGCCCTGCCTTCCCGGAGGTCAAAGCTGGAAATGGCATCAGTTTCTAAAAATACCCTTGGCACGAGTTTGGTCCCAGCCCTACAGGCCTCCCAGGCAGGGCCCAGCCCAGCCGCAGGTCTGCAAAGACAGCGGAGCTCTGTAGGCTCCAGGCGCCCCCTGCAGACTGACCTCGGTGTGGCATCTGAGGAGCTGGTGGCCCGGGGCTCAACTCTGCCTGGCCTTGGTGCAGATATCCGGAGGGAGGCCCCCGACCCGCCCCACTCCTGCGACCACGAGGCCCCTAACTTGTTTGTGCGCCCTCTGCGTGCGCTCTACTCGTCCAAGCCCCATCCCGGCAAGGGCAAGAAAGCTGCGGGTGCAGGCCGGGCCCCAGAAGCCGCCCAGGTCGCGCGGTCCCGCCCCCAGAGACCTCCCAGGTAGAGTAGGTCGCGGCCCCACCCCTAGAGACCTCCCAGGTGGAGTAGGTCGCGCGGCTCCGCCCCTAGAGACCGCCCAGGTGGAGCAGGTCGCGCGGCCCCGCCCCTAGAGACCTCCTAGGTAGAATAGGTCGCGGCCCCGCCCCTAGAGACTTCCCAGGGCGCGCGGCCCCGCCCCCAGAGACCTCCCAGGTAGAGTAGGTCGCGGCCCCGCCCCTAGAGACCGCCCAGGGCGCGCGGCCCCGCCCCC